TTTTTTTTTTGGTACTAGGGAACGAACTTGGGACCTTCTGCTTGCGAGGCAGGTGGTGGAACCACTGAGCTAAATCCCTGGCCCCCCTAACTAGTGTTTTGAAAATTAATTTTTACTGAAGGTTTTATTCTGAAGCTCAGTTCTTTAGATAAGATACCGAAGCTTGAAATTATATAGGTGGCTCTTGGTAGGTTCAGCTAATTTTTTTTTGATACTGGGGACTAAACTCAGGACCTTGTGCTGGCCGGGCAGGTGGCACCACTGAGCTAAATCCCTGGCCCTAGAGCCAACTTTCAATTAGTTATTTGGCATAAAGTTGCTCAAAAGTTTTTAACTTGCTTCCAACATATTTTCTCTTTTTAGGGGCTAAAAGAGGTGACACTTCTTGGACAGAATGTTAATAGTTTTCGAGACAATTCAGAGGTCCAGTTCAACAATTCAGTGTCTACTAACCTCAGTCATGGTTTCACCACCAACTATAAAACCAAACAAGGAGGGCTTCGTTTTTCTCACCTTTTGGATCAGGTTTCCCGAGTAGATCCTGAAATGAGGATCCGGTTCACCTCTCCCCACCCCAAGGATTTTCCTGATGAGGTGAGTGTTGTCATTTAGCTGTGACAAACCTGGTATCAATATCCTGATGCCTGGCATGGACTGGGCCCAGCACGGGTGCAGCAGGGACCTGAGAGCTGCTTGTGGAGTCCTGCGGCGTGTTTGCTCGTCACCCTCTGGATCCAGCAGCCCTCTGGGAAGACTTAAAGTCCTCCTGGTTAGGGTGGAGATAGGACTGATAGGAATGGGAGGTTAGGCTCGCCTGTGCAATCATGAGGGCTGTGTGGGGAGATTTTATTACAAGTGGGCAGCTGCACGGGAGTGATAGTGGTTTGGTGGTGGTGTGCAGACAGGAAGGAAGGCAATGTGATGTGGTGGGAAACAACCCAGACTTTAGCTTCATACAGGTCTGGGTTCAAATCTCAGCTGTTCCCCTGCTTTACCAGTGGGTTTGTGAAGACGATTTTCAACTCGTCATTCTCATGTAAGGATATGACCCCTGCTTTAGATTGTTGTGAAATAATATAATGTGTCAAACTTTGTGCAGTGCCAGAGTTTGAGTAGTTAGCCCACATATAAAAACCTTTCTTTTGATAGTTTTTTTTTTTGATAGCTTTTTGTTTTGGTGAAATGTTTATCTCAGATATCTTTTCTCTCTTGGATTATTTTTCTTAATTGGCCGGGGATTTAGCTCAGTGGTTTTGCTGCCTGCTGCGCAAGCGCAAGGACCCGAGTTCGATCCCCAGTACCAAAAAAAAAAAGGTATTTTTCTTAATTGAGGTATAAAGTTTCTTTATTCTTGATATAAATCCTTTGTCAATATATTTTCAAATATTTTCTCTAGTTTTAATTCTCCCCCTCCTCCCTTTTTGGAGACAGAATCTTACAGGATAGGTCAGGTAGTCTTGAATTCATTATGTAGTTTAGACTGTCCTTGAACTCATAGTGATCCTCCTTCCTCAGCCTCCTGAGTGCTGGAATTACAGGTGTGTGCTAGTATTACTGGCTTCAGTCTCTCTCTCTCTCTCTCTCTCTCTCTCTCTCTCGTGCGCGCGCGTGCTTTTGAGATAGGGTCTCACTATGTAGTACATACTGGCCTTGAATTCACTGTGTAGCTCAGCCTGGCCTCAAACTTGTGGCGATCCTTCTGCCCAGCCTCCTGAGTGCTGGGATCACAGGTGTGCACCACCCTGCCCAGCATAATTTTAATATTTTTTTCTTGGTACTGGGGATTGAACTTGGGACCTTGTCCTTGCAAGGCAGGCACGGTGCCACTGAGCTAAATCCCCAGCCCATAATTGAAAATTTTTTTTCTTTTTCTGGTACCGGAATCGAACTCAGGTCCTTGCACTTGCCAGGCAGGCACAGTGCCACTGAGCTACATCTCCAGACCCCATAATTTTAATGTTTTAATGATGTCTTTTAAAGTAATTAAGTAGTTTGCCAGTGAGCAGCCCTGTGGCTTGAATCTGACTTGTGCTTGCTCTGTTCCCTCCACTTTTTGAACATAAAGATGGCTTCACGTGAAATGTCTGGGCAGACAGAAGGCAGCTTGAGTAAGAGTTAGGGATTTTGGTAATTTATGTATTTAATTTAATTAGTTTTTTTTATTTATTGAAAATTAACCTTGACGAGAAACAGAGTGATACACCTTTCTGCAACA